GGAACCTGGCACTGACCAGCTAGAAAGACTAGCACTTCTATAGAACCCCCTAGAAAGACTAGCGCAGCTTGACCAGTTAGAGTGTTTCTAAGAGCTGTATGACAGTTATCCTTTGCAGAGCGAGAGTGAGCGTTTGATCGTCAGGATGGCCAGCCCAAGGGCACTTCTTGAGGACACCTTTCAACGTGCCTTGAAAAGCGCTTCAGACAGAGCACCTTTTACTTTGGATTCATAGTGGGCACTCCCGGAACTTGCTCAGGTTCAGACAATTTGAAAAGGTTTGGTGGAGTTCCAGGGTGAGGAAGCTTTTGCCAAGAACCCCCCCTTGCTCCTACTCATGTCACACAAAATATGACATGTACTCTGATTTTGGCCTTGCTTGCATGCAGATTTTATGTCAATAATCAACAAAAGTAATATAATGTAATAGATTGTATTACATATTATATTATATGCACCTCAATTGTTGGTCCAGAAAAGTATACTGAACTATATATATATGTAATCGTGAACTGCCCGTGCTCCCTCCCGCTCTGGCTGGATGGCTGGATGTTGCCGTCAGGCCTGAAAGATGCCGATATCGACTGGAACTGCGACCCATGGCCATCGCATCTTGCTCGCAATGGTGAATTTTATCTGAGTCTCAAGCGCTTCCAATTCCAGGTGCGTAGGATTTCTGGGAAGTCAACAACCAATGTGCATTGATCAAGGGTTTGCTTTCTGGAGATTTGGGTGTGTGGCTTGAAATTGCCTGTAAGCAGATCTCCGCTCATTTTGTGGTCATGTCTTTATTTTGCGGTGGGGACCCGTGTAGCACGATGGCTTCCAGACTCCTTTCAGCCTTTGAGTCTCCATTTGTGTCATCCAAGGCAACCTTTGAGCAAGGACCTTTGCAAACAGCTTTTAGCCTTCAACCCGGCACTACGACCGGCATCAGCACGCACAGTGTGGAAACCCAGTTGTGAATACCAATGTGGGCGTTCTGTTTACAGTAGTTATGTACATACCCTCCTATACTCATACTATTTGGTGAATTTCAAAAGATACTTGCAGTGTTTGGTGCATATTTTTATAGTCAGATTTTGCAGGTACTTTTTCTCATGATTGAGTTATGATATACAGATTTATGTAGGGGAAAGAAATACATAATCAGATAACCTAGAAATGAAAGTGGATAAGGATGGGGGGGCCAGCAGGGGAGGACAACTTAAAGGAGAGTTTGCGTGTGTGTGTGTGTGTGTGTGCAAAACATTTTCATTCACAATAGTCTTTATTAGTCTTTGCATTGTCGTTCAGAGCTGCTTCGCAGATATACACTAAAACAGGAGAGTATAGGATGGGGGATTGCATATACAGCACGCACAGTGTGAATATCCATGTGCCCATGTGGGCATCCTTGCAGGGCAGATATATAGTCAAACTGCAAAAACACAGATTCAAGTCCCTGAGTGATGTGTGGAGGCCATCGCTACTAGTAGCTTCTTGTTACTAGTAGCAAGGCCAGGAGCTACTTTCGTCCCTGCTCCTAGTAGCGATGCCCTTTGTTCCTAGTAGCTTCTTGCTCCTACTAGTAGTAGTAAGGCCAGGAGCCCCTAGTAGCGTCCTTGCTCCTTAGTAGCGATGCCCTTTGTTACTAGTAGCGTCCTCTTGTTACTAGAAGCATTTGCTTGGACCTTGAGACCTGAGATCAGTTTGCTGCGGAGACAGAAAATGGCAGGACGAGTAAGTGGTGCCTAAAGCTGGTGCCTAAAGCACGCTAAATTCAAGGCTTCGCTGGAAAACCATTCTTTTGAATTTGAATTGATTGGAAAGATGCCATTGCACGGCACAAGCACACATGAATTGCCAAGCATAGAACTGAAAAATGCTGTTTCAAAACGAAGCCACCGAAACAGATACGAAGAAAAGGAAGAAGGCTCAAGAAGCGCTTGGCGACTATACTATGACTGCTATGGCTATGCTTTCTCATACAATAGGTCCTCTTTCAGACTGTGTGCAGCTGCCCCTGCTCCAGACTGAAGGCTTTGAGCCATGCGTGGTTTCTGGACTGAGAACGCCCAGTTTCAGTGAGACAGCCTTTGAGAGAGAGAGAGAGTCCTGCTCTTGGCAGTCAAGTCAAGCTCTGGAGGTTCACAATAAACTTTTAGCCAACAATGACAGCACCATTCAGAGACCGGAGCCCATTTTGTTGATGGACTGTACAATTTGTGTGCCAAGTCTACACATTCAATTTACCATTCCTGAGTAGGTTGAATGTTTGAAGGTCTTCCACAGAAGACATCATTATACATACACACGATTGTAAGGTGCAAAACTTTAAAACAGGCTTCTGAACATCCAGAGCAAGAGGAAGTTTCCCTTACATGCATGTGAAAGACGGCAGCAGGGCTACTTTTTTTGCAGTAGGTATAGTCAGACATTCTGAATTCATTCATTTACCCATGGCCCTTGCAGAGTGTACAGTGCCGGGGGGCCAAGGAAATCCCTAGAGTTCATTCTTCAGTGCAAGTGATCGCTTATTCTCTCCAGTGCTGGCTTTTTGCCGTTGAAAGTGTGCGAGCTTTCCATCAACATGGCTTCCCTTGTTCTACTAGGTTGGAGGCCATCGCTATTAGGTTGGAGGCCATTACTAATTACTACTAGTAGGTAGAAGCTACTAGCAACAAGTGCAACTAGTAGTAATGCCCTAGTGCTGGACTGCTCCCTGCCCCTGATGAAACTTTGCATGCTGAGGCACACGTGCATGTGCATGCTGAGAATGCTTGAGTATGATTACACCATACAGCCCTCCTTACAAACGCTAACTCTTTTGTGGGTGTGAGCTTCTCTTTGTTGTTTTGTTGTGATGGGCCTTGGGAAACGTCAACCAGAGCTGGAAGAGCATTGACGAAGCGACTCCGTTGAATGTGGCTTTTCGCACAAGTGCGCGAGTCAACGCTTTCAGCCAACACTGAGTGCATTTGAGTGCTGTGGGCACTTTCCAGAGTCACCCCATAGACTGTCTGAGACAACCGGGGTGGCTATGGAGGGTGCCACAAGGATCAAGCAAGCGCAATTAGGTGAAGGCACACCCACCTCAACAATCTCCACAACCCGCAGTCCATGTCGAATCTACACAGGGACTGACTCCACCCTCGGCATTGCTTGGCAGAGGGACTAACTCCACCCTCAGCATCCCTTAGCAGCCTTAGCAGAAGAGCTGGCAGATATAGGATATAGGGATGGCCAGCGGCCACGGCTCTTACATGGTTTTCGCTTTGGAGATTGTATGCAGGTCTGAAGTGTCCCTTGAGCGAACTCCGCTCAACTCCGCTCACAGCGGGTTGAATAGACTAACCTGTGTAGTGCCTCGAATGCAAGTATGGCAAAGACATGATTCGCTGGTGGATTTGCTTTGGGTGTAGCATTGCCCCAAGCGTTGAAATTGTACGATTGTTGAGTACTAGATAAAGCTATAGCCATCAGTTTCCTCAGCAATGCTGCTTTCTGGGCACGCAGCAGGGCAGTGGGTTCTTGCCATCCATAATAAGGTAGCTGTGATGGCTCAGACATGGTGAGTGTAATTCACAGCTATGTAGGCACAAAATGGTGCAACAGCTGCCACGGCTATTAATTACGATTTTTTTCTCAATGCCAGTGCAGGACAGCAGAAAAGGCTCCTGATCACGGGCGGGCGGCGTTTTTAAACGATGTTTGGTGGTCTAATGTTGATGAACGGCAACCATTCTGCGACGCCCTTCAAGAGCCGTTAAAGGTTCATTATCCGTGTTGCATCCCATGAGTCGTTTGCCACTCCGCTAGACATGGTTCACTCTGCCAGGCCACGGACATTAGCCGGCACCTTGTTTGTATTTCTTGTCGCAGCTGAATTCCAGTATGCCAGTGTTGTTCAACTGCGAGGAATAATTCTTTGGCCATGTTGGAGCTGTGGCCAAGCCAGGCCCGCAAGTGGGAAAGGCTCCAGATTGATGTGGAGAGCCCCTTGAAGCTGCATACTGAAGAGCTACGTAGATTACGTAGTGATGCTCCAAACATGTCACTAAATCTCCGACTATGTGGTGAGATTAGGTAGCATGACTCGAAGCATGACATGTCGAGAATGCCATTGATGAATTGATGGCTCTCTTGGTGACACTGAGCTGGATGTGCCATGATGTGCCCCATGTGCTCTAGCAGCGGCACACGCTCAAAATCATCCAAACCTGAACCTGCTTAGAGACATGACTGCGGTGAAGCAGTCCAATGTAGACAGCTTGCAGGCAGCAATAGGGGGATGGAAAAAGACTGGAGAGTGAGCAGACGTGAGCGGACCCTTCTTTCCAGATGCACTCCCTGCAGGATCATGCAGCATGCAAGTGCAAAACGCCTTGACATATTTTACAAATTGTGAGGAAGCATCTTGGGAAGCCAAATTGAGGAGGCATGCACTGCATCTCCCGGCTTAGTTTGTTGCCCAGGCAAACCGAGTGATTGAATCAGCCACATGAGCAGCTTGCTGAAGCGGTGAAAGAATTCGTTGGGCCAGAAGACATGCGAAGGCCAGTGCAAGAAGAACACACCAAGGGGATTTCTGAACGTGGCTGACTGTGTTTGAAAGGAATCATGGGGATTTCTGTATGTTCCTGGCATTCACTTTGAGGGGCCCAGATAGATACTGTAGATCCGTAGAAAGCCGTCACACACTTGCCTTTCGGTGCTTTTGCTGCCAGGTCTTCAACATGTCATTTGCACGAACAAATTCACAGGTGCCTTAAAGATTCTTGGATACGCGTGGAAAACAACGAATTCTGAACTGCTTAACTGCATTCTGGAAATCTGGAGTATAGTTGTGTGCGTTCACAATTCACATCGCATGTGTTCATTCCTGTTTACCCTCTAGCACCCCACCTGCGTGGAAGGGCTTTGAGGGGCGGACCGTCGGACAGTTCGCAAGTGAGTGTGGAAATCTGAAGTATGTTTTTTGCAGCCAATGGCAACCTTGAAGATCTTCACCTTGCAGCAGCCTTTGCCATTCAGGGCCCGAGTCTTCTCAAGAGAAACATGGAGTTGGTGCTGTGTCCGTGAGGGATTCTCAATCGGTTGCTGCAGAGAATGAGAACAAGACGCAGAAAGGATTCAATTCCCTGACACTTGATTCTCGCAATGAAGGCCATTATGATGCATGATACGGCGGCGTGGTTCCATGCTTTGTTTCTTTTCTCGTGATTACTGCCCCGAGATTCTTTCAAGACATTTGAGATTTCCACCCCTCAGATCAAGCAAAAGCAATGGTGTAGGGTGTAGGGTCGAAACATTTGCCTTTAATGGTAGCTGGACGATTTGCTCAGGATGGATTGATCCAGCAATGCGGCAGATCCAATGTCCAGGAGTTTGCTAGACTCTGATGCTGGGGTTTCTCAATGTGGATGAGCTGAGAATGCGGTCACATCTAGAGGCCACTTGGTTGACTTGAGGACATCCGTATGGAATCTCGAGGTCTTTGGGACAGGGTTTTGGAGTTTGGATCTAGGCTGCATGCTTCAAGGTTCTTTGGCACCGTCAGCCAAGGAGAGAAAGCCAGAAGCACATCATTTGCAGGGAAAGCTTCGTCCAGGATTGGGTCCTTTCAAATGCATTTGTTCAGGCATTGTGGCGAGAGCCAACATACAGTGTACTGTGTACTATGTCACAACCGTTGCCTGGATTCGGTAGAAGAGGAACAAGTTTGTTCAGCTTTTGTTTGTGCAGGTCTGGGTTTGTGATGGTTTGTATTTGTTTTCTCAATGTAGTAGTAGCGTTCTTGCTACTAGTAGCGATGCCAGGAGCCCCTAGTAGCGTCCTTGCTCCTAGTAGTAAGGCCACTGAGTCTCATTGAAGTCGGCTGGGGACGCGCTTACACTGGTGGGTTCCCTCTTCGGCCGGAAGTTCCTAATTCCACAGCGGTGCAACGCTCACTCATCCGCTATGCTGAAGACTTACACTGCAAACCACCTTATCACCCGGATGGCCTTGTTTCCATGACTCATATCCACCCAACTTTTCCTGTTGTTGATGCTATTCCACTCACCTTTGAGCAACGATTCCTCTACCGTCGCTATCTGCGTCAATGTTGGAATCGTCAGGGAGATCTCGACTCGGTGCCAGTTCCACCGGCACCTAATTAGTAATTGGTCCATTCCTTTTATGTGCCGCGCGGATATTCGTTTTCACGTAGCTAGGATTGTACAGTGCATTTTCTGTATCGTCACACGATCGTATTTCACCACACTCCCAGATACCCCCTACAACAGGGAAGGATCTTGGGAAGCGCACAGACTCAGCGCAAGTTTCGGGAGTAGTAAGGCCAGGAGCCCCTAGTAGCTTCTTGTTCCTAGTACCCCTAGTAGCTTCTTGCTACTAGTGGCGATGCCAGGAGCCCCTAGTAGCTTCTTGTCACTTAAGACTCAAGACCTTCCAGACATCGGCCCTCGCTGGCCTCAGACAAGACAGAATGATTCAGCGACGGCACCACTCCACCACTGCCAGCACAAACCAATACTCCCAATCTTACAATTGTACGACATGGCTGTTGTTATAGCTGTTTTCCATCATCAGGACACTGGCAACTCGCAATGTCTCGGATGCATCAAGCGGAGGAGATCCTTGGTAGCACGAGATAGACACATACACAGTGACAGAATACCTTGATTGAATCACCCTAGCAGCATCGAGCAGCTATTGCGGTTACAGTTTTGGTCATTGAAACGAATGAATTCACGCCTCCAGAAGGCTTCTGGAGTTGCACAGGATTCCCCAGACACACTCTGTCAGGTTCTCCCTGCCACGACTCACCTCGGCCCTTCGTCTCTCCAAGTCGTGGATGTGGTCCTTGCAGCGACTGGCTGAGCTTCGTGAAATTCGCGAAAGGTGCGCACTTCAGGAACGGATGATAAAAAACAAAGTCTTACTGTAGAACTGGCTGGTGGTGAAAACATCGGCTCCTGGACACCCCACAAAATTGGGTGAGCACAAAGTGCAGCTGGCCCCACTGTTCCACCACTTGTTCACGCTTGAATTGCTACGAGACCATACCTGTTCTTCGATGTTTTCCTACTTCAACCGGGCCTCCTCCCTGTGCCGTTTTGCCTTGAGCATGCTGTGGTGTTTCCTCGTTCTGAACTTGAGAGCCAGACTGGCGCATTGACTCAGCCTGAAAGTTGAGGCCAGATGCTATCAGTTGGTCAGCCGCATCAAGCACACTTGACAGAGACCGTTGGCAACATGCTGTCCATATTCTGGATGAGTTGAGATGGTCAACGCTGCAACCAGGCCCTTCAAGAAAGCCGAGCTGCAATGAAAAAGAAGACGGTCATGAGAGCCATAACATGAGTATCGATTACATGATTACAGTACCGATGCAGAACAGTATCTCCAAATTGATCCCCCACCCAGCTCATTAGCTTGTCCTAAAGACGCTGGGATAACATGGTCACAACGCAAGCAGTTGATGTTACTTAACAGTCTAAACAGCCATGTCTTGCAGCCGAGAAGAGGAAGACAAAAACAATTCAGGTAAAATCCACTACCCGCTCGGGCTCACAGATACACCGCCGTGCCGAGGCAAATGGATACAGTGTGCTTTACCCCGAAGGCGATAGCTTGGCCGTTGTCCGGGCTGTGTTTGGGCGAGATAAGGCAGGGACATGCAGGACCGATTGCCATGTTTGTGTCAACTGGTTGAGAAACTACATCCCAAGGCCTCCGAGTGCATGCATGAACCTTGTTGAGTGGACAATTAATAGGCGCGGTGTTCTTGAAGTCTCTTTGCGCCTGCAATGGAGAGATGACTTCGGAGAAAAAGCCAGCAGAAATCACAGGCATCATTTGCTGCGGGCTGATGTGGTGACCTTGAATGCTGCAGCAAAGGGTAGCGGCTGGGAGAAAACGCTGGCTGCCGTGCAGAGAATTCGAGCGCTTTATCTGCAGATCAAGAGATGAGGGTTTTGGACAGACTGGATTGGATAGTTTCGACAGTGTCTCGAAGCTTTTATATACACCACTATAACCTATTTGGCGCCCATGCAGGTTCTATAATGACAGATTTTCGATTGTTGTAATTAATTCGATCCTCGACTAATGCTGACACCACTGTGATTCTGACACCAGGATTCCGCACCCCTTAGAGTGGGTAGTCTCCAGGAATTCCCCATCAATTTTATACCCGTTGAATGCAAATGCCCAGTCCATGACTGGAGCTGGAGAGGAGACAAGAGAAGAGTCATGATTCGTGCCCAATCAGCCCCGACCGACTTGTGATCCAAACTAGGTTTCTGGTGTGGTGCCAGATGCGTGGACCAGGACTGGATAAACGGATAAACATATAATATAGAATCAGAAGGGTTTTTCTTGGTAACCTGGTAGTGTGGCATGTGTTTGTATGTCATGGCTTCTGTGCCTGCCATACGTTGGCGCTGTGTTTTGCCAATACATTTTGAACCGTCTTCCCTGTTCACCCCAAAGTTTGTCTTTTCGGATGTTTTCGGCTACAATCTACAACGCATAACTGAGCAACTCCACAAACACTGTTTGTAGCTCTAAACCTTGGAGGTGTGTTTTCTTATGTGTGGTTATTGCTCTTTGCAAGAGCTCTGGTATTCTACTTGTTAGTTATGGTTCAAGAATATGAAGCACACTGTTCCCATTATGTGCCAACGCCTGCTGGAAGAGGACTGATCATAAATTCAGAATGTGCACGTGTCAATTTGTTTTTTCCAATGCGTTGTATGACGCCCCACACATTGTATTGTATACCATCACTTCTTTTGGTGCTTGCAAAACCTGAGCCAGGAGTGTGGAAGAAATATCTATCGTGAGTTTGTTTGGCTGGATTTTGAAACTCATCCGAAAAAGGAAGACACGTATGAAAGGTGATGTGGGAGAAAAGAGGCACACGCAATATCAGCAGTCACTTTCTATACGCTACAGCAGGATCACACATCGGGCAAGGAAAATGCGGGACCGAGTATTGCATAGCCGAACTCCAAGAAATGTAACGCCCTTTTCTGAAGCTCCTTTTGCTGCACCGAAGGACTATTGCCAATACAGACTGCATTTGGCCAGTAGCTTTGGAACTTACCTGGCATCTTTGAAGTAATCTGGATTTTTTATTTTTGAAGCGTTGGGGTCAGATTCACGGACAGTATATAAAGGACATCACTTTGGAAAGTGCAAACAACTTGTGAGCAGTGCATTGCATCCGCAAGCGAGCGATGGCACCACTTTCAGAAAGTGTGTACCGACATTCTACCGAGTTTCCAGTTTCCGGTCTGAGATTTAATCTAATCAAACAATAAGCTACTAGTAACAAGTGCATCGCTTCTAGTAACAAGTGCCTTACTAGTAGTAACAAGAAGCTATTGATTTAGTTTAATTTAATTCTAATCCGTTTCTACTAGCTAGTAAGGCACTTGTTACTACTAGCGAGGCACTTGTTACTACTAGCGTGGCACTTGTTTCCAGTTTCCGGTCTGAGATTTGGTGTTCTGAATTCACCCAAGGCATGGCAGCTGTGATCAGATCACACTTGGTGCTTGCCTCGCGGTTCTAGCCAAAGGCTGGTGATTCCGGGAGCGGGACTAGGGGCTTCATTATATATATATAAAATTCTTGCATATTCTTGCACAGACTATTTGATAGACAAGCATTTTTGTGGGGGTGGAACTAATAGCCTGGCTTGAACAAACTTCAGTAAACGATGCCATTTGCTGCAGTCACGGGCCGGCATTTTGGACCTTCAGGCCATCAGTGGCATCTAGCGTTGGATCTTCTGCTCCAGTTCGATGTGCCTTGATGGGGCATCTATGCGCAATTTGCCCACGCAACCAACCGAATATAGTGCAACCGCAAGATGGTGGCAGACAACAACGATGTCGTCGAACTTAACTACCAGGTTTGTTCAAGAGAAAATGTCCAATCTTCAATAGTAAAACAGGTGCCTCCCTAGCCAACAATTGAGGAAGAGTGAAGCAGCAGCAGCAGTGTAGTGGTAGTAGTAGTGGACTTGGATATTTAGGGCTCCAAGTGTACTTCTTTTTCCCACCTCATAGACAGTCCTCATTATTCACTTCCCCTGAGTCTGTGCACTACTGTACCCCCTTGCAAAGGTTCGTGGAGCGGAGCAATGAGATCGATGAGTTTAATCAGGGTTTGGGTTTTTGAACATGGTTTGCAGGTAAGATTTCCATGAATCAAGAAAACCTCAGAAGAGTTGAGAAAGGATCTTAAAGTTTGAGGGCAACAATGGCAGAACAATAGAAAAGTAAGTTTCGCTATTTTACCTAAGGGAACAAAACACCTACTGTATTTTTGTTTCCACCCACTATATAAACTGTTTAGGGTTAGAGTGTGAGAATAATTATGCGAATTATTCATCGCGTCATGGTTTGATGTCCCTCACATGTGCTTGTGCAAGGTATGGTCGCTGCAACCCGATGAGGTGAGCTTCAACCTGGCAATCCTCGCCTGCGAGAAGGCCAGCGCAGTCAGAACCGTTTGGCGTCACAAGGAGGGACCCGCATGAAGTCCCTAACCATCTGCTGAAAACATAGTTTGTTTCTTGCCACAAGAACCTGCCGGTCATCCGGATGCTAACATGCTTTAGTGCTATCGAGCCAGTAGGGCGTGGCAGCCAAGGCGTCAGAGTGGCAAAGGGCTGTGGGCCTTTGCGGTGTGATGGTCATGGCACAGGCACGGTCAAAAACGTGTATACAGTGAGGTTTTGCGTAAGGTCCTGGAATAGAGTCAGGGCAGCCACGCAACATGGATAACATGGCCCTGCAGCATAAAATCGCAACATGGCCCCTGATACTGGGAGGCTGTGTATAGCCAGGTTTAGGGGCCTAAACTCAGTTGAGCACTCACCCCGTGGCAGTTTGTACTAGCTAGCACGGCCAAGAACAGCACCCGGACCGCCTTGGCCTTGACCATTGGTAGAATTTGGTCGTGGCGAGATGCCTCAACCAGGTGACGCCAAGCGCAGCTTGATCGCATTCATGGACACAATGCTCGGTGCTTTGTCCTGAGACAATCGAGAATGTTTATACTGTAAATACATGTTATATATATATAAATCAAATTATGCTGGCTTTTCGGCAAAGCAAGTTGTCTCATTGCAAGGGTTTTGCGGATGCTGTGTGCAGACCCGACGGTGGGATTATCAATGTTGGGGAGTTTGCAGGCTATCACCTACAGCTCAGTGGTTAAGTCATTGACAACCAATTTCCAGTGGCGTGGAGCTCTCAATGTGCTGCTTAGTGGCACTCACTTGTGGAGATCCAACAAGAGACCGGACGAAAGGCTCTTAGCCACAGTGCATCATCATACATTTTGTTGATTGTATTATAGCATTTATATATATACTGTATGTATTTCCCGACGTGTTGGAATATATTGCTGACAGCATGTGGCCGCATATTGCTGCAAAGACTCCCACATTCGTGGTGTGTTTGTTGGAGTGTGTGCTTGATTACAGTATTAAAACATGTATGAATGTAATAGTTAGGCACATTTATCAGACCGATGCATTTCGGAGCTAGACATATTCAGACCGTATATCGGACCAGTCAAAGAGTGCATGCAGGTTCGATGTGATGAAGGACAGGCTCACCAGTAGCCAGCATTTCTTTGACATGACTTACTTGAATTGACCGGAAGGATTGAAGATCCCAGAAGATTATGGCATTCCTCTCAAGCCCTCTGTCAGGACTCTGAGGTCAGAGTTGACGCCATTTGCTACAACAGTGCTATGGCTATGAGCACCTTGGCTTAGGACTTCAAATGTTCCTGCCCAAGAGCTGCTGCCAGCTGAAACGAAACCGCCTTGAACCAGCACGATTGTTGCACGTGTGATCATGTGTGAGGGGAGTGAATGGGCTTCCACCTGCGCTGCAGCCGATAGGATGTGCAGTGCAAGACTAATGCACACGAGATAAGCCTTATCTCCTGACTAATGTTCATAGATTCATAGATAGATCGATTTGCCTTATATAATTGTTTTTTTTGTTCGGTTTGTGACTTGCCAAGGTGATCCGCCGCACAGGCTGGCACGTTAGCCAGGGTCCACTCAAATTAAGAATTGTGAACCATGCTGCAGCTTGAAGCGGAATGCAATCAATCTACAGTTTCTTTGTATTCGTTGTACCTTTATCCTTTATTCCTTTTGCCCATCATTGGCTTTGAGCATTCACAGTTGATGATGGTTGGAATCAAGGGTGTCACCAGCGAAGTCTTCAGTCAAAGAGACGCTCGTCAGACATGCTCAGAAAATTTATTGAGACATTCCAACTCCCTGATGTTTACAATGACATTGGCTAGGGTCGGCATCTCTTGGTCACACACCCTTAGCATGCTTGCTCGCCTGGGGCTTGGATTGCCAGGGATTCTCAAGTTGTCGTGAGAGGACTAGCATAGAGAAAGCAGACCATCCATCCGAAACTAATTTCTGTGTGAAAGGCTTTGTTACGAGCAGCGATTGGGGGCTCGCTCTCTATGTTTACTCATATATATATAGAAATTTGTGTGTGTGTGTGTTTGTATGAATGCACTTGCGTGCTCGTTCTCCCGTGTGGCAGCCAGTAACATGAAGAGTTCACGTTTGTGGCCACGCTTTCGTCCAGTCCAGGTTTGAAAGCCCGAACCTCGGCCGGCGAAGGTCGGATGGAGCCCTTGGTTTCACAAGAAAGGTCGAACGCGTTAAATCAAGAAATCGAAAGAAATTGAATTAAATCAAGATTGAATTAAAGGTCGAACATCTTCTTTTGACTGGATAGCAAGGGCCTCCAACCTACTAGCAAGAGGTTTTCTCCACGAAGCATGGAGAGTAACTTGACAACCACCCCTCTAAATTGCTTCCTTCACATACACACACACACTCACACACGTGTCAGAATGGATGTTGTTGGTCAGAGCATGTCACAGCAGTTTTGCCAGACTTTTGGTTCTTAATGTGGGCGAGGTCGAGAACCTTTCCAGAACTGAGCTTGGTGCCTCGCTGCAGGGGGGCTGATGTTGCATTCCGACAATAATGCTGCAAAATCCCATTGTTGGCGTGAGCTAGGCTACTGTATATAATCATCAATAACTCCTTAGAGTGACTGATTTTCCGCTTACAATTTTCGATGTTCTGAAGATAGCGTTATATAGCCCTATAAGGGGGGTTGGAAATTGTTAGATCCAGGAATCACTATTGTTTTTCTTGATCCCCCCTTCAAAGAAGTTCTTGCCTCCGACATTAGACATTGAAAACAAGGGGAGTAAGAATTGATGGGCAGGTACCTCACAATAACAAGTCACAATTTCAGCCCTTTGGCGTTGCTTCGAATTGCTTTACTTTCGTGACTTCGGATCTGCTTGTTTGAGCGACATGTCTTTGTTAAATCTCTTAAGCTCCTCCCTCTTGCAAGAAATGTTGAGGCCAGCACATTCAATGAAAAACGCTGCACAGTGCG